TTTTTTTTTTTTTTTTTTTCTTTGCAAAATTAACTATTTTGTTCTGGTACCAAACATTTTTTTCTCATTTTTTGCTTGCACATAATTGATTCATTTCTTCGCCTAGCAATTAAATTAAAATTTGTATTCATAAAGAATCTGCTGTTAGTTTGTTTGGCGTAGTTTGGCTTAGTGCTATATGCTGAATTTTTGCATTTGGATGCCTATGTTTGAATTTTTCATGGAATTTGGTTCAAATGTATGCAAAAAAAAAAAATGAAATAAAAGTACTCCCGGGAGGATTTTGCTCAAAAACATGGCTTTTCTCTATCAGGGAAATGCAACGCTGGTAGTATTACGGTTTTTCTTCTATTTCCTCTTCCTTTCTCCATACTTATTACTCTTCAGTATTATTTTCCAATATTTCTTTATCTGTTAGACAGTTAGATTTTTTCATTCTGTCACTCGAAGAACACTTTTCTCTTTTAAATCCATCTTCACTTTATGTTGTCTTTACTTACCTGTAGAAAATTGACTGGATAGATTGCTGTAGCAAGGAAATTGATATCTGTTTCCGCAAAAATAGCAAAATTATTACAGGAATTGAGACAAAAAGTATGCGTTAGTAATGAAAATACCCTCTTATTTCTGTCAAAATCTCAGCAGGAAAAGAGGCGGTTTGGTCATTGTTGTTAAGCCTGCCCCACTAAGGTGTTGTGATTGTGTGTTCTGAAATGAATTGGTAGTCTCTAAAGCTACTTCATGGCGCCTCTGAGCCCTGCTCAATACGAAAGTCTACGGTGAAATTCAGGATACTGGCTGTAGAGATTCAGAACCTTCAGAATACTCACTGTTCTTCAATACGTAGCTAGGTACTATAATTTCTAAGAATCTGAAGTTACTTAACAGTCTGAAGAGCAGAAATTAGTAGTTCCTATGCTCAGACGTCTAAATCAAAAGGAACTCCAATTTAGTTACGTTAACAGTAGGCATGATTATTACAATATATAGGCTGCTATTTCAAATGTCGTCTTTTTGTTTCTTTTTGAAGATTAATGCGTTACACATGAATCCGATCTGCGTCAAAGCCTCAAATATTTCATAAGAACAAAATTTCGTTTAAGCTTGTTTTACGGACTGTTCGATGCGCCGATGTTCATTTTATTTTCTAACGGAGTCCATGTTATTTTGAGCTCAAGAAAAGAATGCAGCAAACCGCCGTCTTTAAGACTCTATAGAGAACAGCATAATGTGCATTACCGAACTTTAAAAAATATATTCCGTGCTAAACTTTTTGAGCATAGTATGCACCAGTTTTGATTCAGGTCCTTTCTTTTTTTACAAAAACTAGCGATAACAACAGCAATAGATTTTGCGGGACAATAATTATTAATTATACATTTCTTAACTATACACTCTTAATAACCTTCTTAAATGACTATGATACACGTGCAGTTAAGGACGCTGAGGCAACGAAATGTGGGTAACAAAAAAACACACTTCACTAACGTTCTATCTCAGGAAGCAATGCCATTTTCACTAGAGCTTATTGGCAGAAAGACGTATTATTGCTTTCTGGGGTCAGGTTCTTATCGAATTCATTTAAAAATATAGTTTTCTCCAGTGACAAACTTCTAATTCTTTTCAATCTTTTTCAAGCAACTGGTTATCTCATAATTTTCAAACATTATTTTCACAATTTTTGTTGAGAAACTGCACAAGTTGTCACCACGGCCGAGATAACGTTACAGGAAGTTCTGGGACTCTTTTGAAGTGGTTTTTTTGACTTTTGCGTGAAGTTGTTGAAAAGTAATTGAACAGTAACAAGCATTTCAGGCACAAAGCAATACTAAGGCAGAAAAGAACTGGTGGGGGAACAACATATTAGAAAGATACATCCATAAATTCAATGACTGCTTTGATTTCAATTTTCATTTTCAAAAAAAGAAAAAAGTTGTTCAGTTATGTCCAACCAGCAAACGAGTAAACATAAATGTTTTTAAGATATGATTATGAGCAGCCTTAGCGACAGACCATAGAAACCCGCAGTAATAGCAGGTAAAGGTACAATACATTACTTTGGTTCTTTTCCAGGTTCAAAGTACCTCTCATACAGTCCCACTGGTTTTTCCCACTCGACAAAGTGGTTTTCAGGGAAGCGAAAGAGTCGTGGAAATTTGGCTCTTTCTTCGGCCGTATACTGATCGGAGCGCTTTGGTACTGGCTGTACTTGCTCCATCTAAAAATGTTGATTATATAATGAATGTTATATTGTAACAAATGAATACCTGGGCACCAATATTACGCCGAATAATATCAGGAATCTTGTCGTCAGGAAACAGATGCAGGCGTTCCAAATGATGCATTCGCCTAATGCTTCTACCAAGTTCTTTATATACTGCTAAAGACACAATTCGACATTGATCGTATTCGTGAATTTGCCAGGCTGGGATCATTGCTCTAGCTTTCGGATATTCCTTTAAAGAGAAATTAAATTATTTCTTCAGGTTTCTTCTAAAGAGTCAAAATTATAAGCACTTCTAATTTGTAATGGCAAATTCTCAAATATTATCATGTTTGTAGTTTGCAAATGAAATAGACAGACAGTGTCAAACTCCTACCTTGTTGAAGTAATACAACCGATGCTTCCAGTCGAAACCTTTCATAGCTACATCCTTGCAGTTGATAACAACAACGTGATCTCCACATTCAGTTTCTGGGTGATATATTGGCTTGTACTTGCCCGACAAGTGCTTAGCTATTTTGCGTCCAAGTAAATAGGGATCCTTGAAAAAGAAACGGTAAGTTTTTGAACGTATAAGATTGGTTTAATTAAAAATTAATGGACTTGAATGAAGGTAATAACTATTCGTTCCCTAAGCTGATCTCAACTCCCATGGTGCGAAAAGAACATCAAAAATACTACCTAAAGTAAAAGAGAAGTACTGCCCAAACTTTCAGCTAAACTAGTTGGCTGATTCGTTTGAAGTGCTCAGATCAGAACCACCTGGAAGAGTTGACATCAACAAGGGTAATTAAAAATCACAATACGACAAGCTGTATTCCCCTAATGCTTTTATCAGTAGCAAAATTCAGTAATTTTATCAGTATTCAACGCAACACTCAGATTCAAGCCTACTTCAAGTCGGACCCTACTTTTGAACATTCTTACGAACCTGATTTGTAGCATCGACAAGATGCCACTGCCTCATAAACAATAACCACTGATTGACACGTCGCAAACGGGACATCCGCTCGGAATGGCTCCTAGAAAGCAATTTTTGATCTGCCCTTGAATCTATTTGAAAAAAAAAAAAGAAACAAGTCACTGCCAAGAAATCATATCAGTCTGCATAAATTACCACAGCCAATTTTGAATAACAGGACAGTAACTGCCAATTCTGAAATAAAATAAAACGCTCATCCCACATCGTAGCATGCAATATTGATAGCTCATCCCATTAAAATTTTGAAACTTATCAGCAGTTCTTTCCAGGATACTTCCGTAAGAGTCTCTGTTCAAAAATCCTTGCGGTAAGCCGCCATATGAACCTAGCGAGAAAAACTCTAACTTGCTTGAATTACATTCTCTGTAAATCCAAGAACTAGAACAAAAACTCCAAAAACTACAAAAAATGTGTGCCACTGACAACAGATGACTCTTAATCTGACGTATCTTGCTGAACAGTTTGGCAAGTTGTAACATACACAGTTTAACTTCTACCCTAAAGCCGTCAAGCAACCGATTAGTTCAGAAGTTCACCATCGGTTTTCCTAAGAATATCTTTTATGGCACTCAATGGACCGAAGCAATTCTTTACGCCTTACAGAACATTCATCAGCTGGAAATATCCAGTACAACGAAACTGCTGTATAAATGCTGATCAAAAGATGTGGCCTTAATGAAGCAGTAGAAGGTAATTTTAATTTCCTCCTACTGTTTTCTTTCTCTAAACCATCACCAATTTGACTGCAGAAAACTCTAGAAAAAAAATAAAACCCAAGCATCAATGAAAAGCCTCACTAGCAAAATTTTTCTAGTTTACAAAAGAAGGAAAAAAACTTTCAACATTCGAAAACTAACGCCAATTTTGAACGAAAAGTTGACTTTACCATTTAAAATCAAACTTTGGTAGACAGTACGACCAGACTTGAAGCAACACTGGAAATCTTAAGATTCACTAAAAATGAAACTTCTTTGTGCTACGAAATAACCTTACTCACAAAAGAACCATGCCATAACAAATATAAACTGGTAATCTTATACTCTCGACTAACAGCATTAACTGCGACCGCAGTGAGCAGAACCACAGCACAGTTTCACTTCACAAAGTGATACATGCCAACTTCCTCACCAATAAGATAGTAAAAATCAACATTGTCAGTGGTTCTCCTAAAAATCCTTTATGATATTCTCCCTAAAAACTTTGCTTTGCCATCGTGAAAGCAGTAAATAAGAGAATCAAAGTACAACGGTTTTTTGCCCAACCATTCAAGTTCTAGCTTCCGACGACATTCTATATTGCTGTACTATTTTCTTTTAAATTTTCAGGAAATCTATGCCAGTTCCAGCTGTAATAATCGGTGCTAATGAACAATCACATATTCGAATAAAAATAAAAAACTTAGAATCTAAAATTTCAGAAACTTCCCTTAACCTTACCAAAAACCATGCTAATACTAACTATCGAGACAAATACACGAACCATATAGACTAACAGGACCATAAGTGAATTATCCCGCAGATTTCTAAACCTTTTTTATATGTTCTATATAAAATTTTTTGGAATCACAGCACTAAAAAATGAAGAGTTTTCGACATATAAACGCAGCCAATAATCATAAATAATAAATCCAAATGCAACAAGTTTTACATATATCAAAATAAGCACCCCGAATATTTCATTCGAGCTGCAACAATAATTACTGAAAAGTGGCAGAATTATGACAAAAAAAATTGTGTAGAGAACATCAGGAGTAATAGACCAGAACCTAAGGGTTACTCTAGACTTTAATTCTTAGGCTGAAAACTGTTAAGGCTTATAATTACCAACAAATTCTAATAAAATTTCATATTTATCAGATGAGGTAGCTTCATACTACTCCGATCAATAACACGCTTGCTGTAAAGAAGATCAAGCATAATATGCGTTAATTACACCAAAAAATTCTAACCAGGCAATTATCAAAAAGGCAAGGATTCATCATCGATATATTAGAGCAATTTAACAACCAAAGTTCTAACCGATACGCATATAAATTTATCTTTCTTCTTACTTCTTTCTCCGGATAGAAGTACAATGTGCGCTCAAAAAAGAAGAGAGCTATCCTAAATGTCATATTACAAAACCTCTTTCATTAAATTATAACTCTTTAAATTCCAATTACTAACTATCCTAACTCTAAAAGGAACTTCGCCAATCCACGAAAAACTCACAACTTGGACAAATGCAAACTGATCAACGATTTATACTACCGCTTAAAAATGTGGATTAACGGCTGTTTTTATTTTGTTTTATTTACAGTAACTACCAAACAACGTTCGAAACGTATTCAGGTAGCACGCAATGCTTTTTCACTGTCTCATAACACAGCATGACAAAGAAGGCGTGAAGTGAAGTGCTGATGATCCGAAGTTGCAGTCCCTTGGTAAAAACCCGTCTGCCCTCTACATTTATGAGGCGCCGTGTAGTTTCCCAGAAAGACGTCCTTTGAACCTAAATAATTTAGCCAAATTATTATTACAATCCAAAGTTGGCTAATAAGTCAATCAAACATAGTTCACCTGGATGCGAACACGTAAAACATCTAGAGGATTTGTACAAATCGCAGCCACAGCCCCACTAAGCATCCCGGCAATACCCTGATCCACAAAAATATTTCGATAATGTTCGGACTCAACGTAAGCTAAAACTTACAAATTTTAATGAATCAATTTCAAGCTTCCTTCTGCAGTAGTCACGCAGTCTAATTATAAGGAAAAAAAATGAGGTCCCAGAAAGTCGAACAAACATTAATTTTCTGAGTGAATTGAAAATTCTGCTGATTATTGGCTTGGAACAACCAAACAGTGTACCGGTGTCATTTCGTAAAGGATGTACGACTTCTTTTCGAATGAATTTGAAACAGTCCAAAAGGTAGTAATAAGACGACCAAAAAACCAATGCTGAGGGAGCATACAGGAAAATTGCGGAAAATATACCCCTGAAATAAATATCCACAAAATAAGGGGTTTAAAACTATTTCCGAAAAAGCAAGCATGAAAATCACCTATAAAATCCACGAACCCCGTCCACACGATAAACAGCACGAATCACTTTTAGGCCCAGGGTCAACCTTGACTTATCATTCTTCAAATATTCCATAACCGCTCCTCCCTTGCGGTTGCCTTAAGATAAAATGTATTAAAACACTGTAATTTAGAGCTCCTTAAGGTCTGACTGTTTTTACCCATGAAGGCTAGAGGATTGTTGTAAATCATCATATGTTGCGAGACGATATCCGTAGGAACAAATAACATTTGGGAAGTGGTAGATGCAACAACACCTATAATTACAATGACC